TAGACAAGATACTAGGGAAATAGTTTTGGTTCCCATCTTGTAAGAACATGCTTGGTCTCTTCAGCCTTCTTTAGGCATAGCACTGTTTACAGGTCCTTCAGTGGCCAGATACAGTTGCTAATAAGATTTTGCAGTAAAATCCTATACTTTGGTCAGTCCTTGAACCAGGCAGAAATGAAGGATGCCAGACGGTTCTTACTTTTTGTTCTAGTTCTCAAATCGATCAGAATTTTACGACTGGTGCTTCAGGTCTCAGCTAGGTTCTCGTAGGGTTGAAGGGAAATTAGCTGAGATATTTTGAAAAAAACTTATCCATCTACATAGAACCGAAGGCTATCTGGCTAGCTCACTTTGCCTTTCAGATAAAGACCAGGTATTATCTTGTCCAGATCTGGTCGGATAGTTCTACATCGGTAGCAATTATGTACAAACAAGGTCGTCTTCTTGTTTGAAAAATCTTGTTCCAGGATATGCTTGGGTTAGTTTTTCTTAGGTCTATTCACTTATGTATAGAACTTAATATTCCCCAGGACATACTTGAAAACGAGAGAAATCTCAATGTATCTTTCCTGGTAAAATATTTTATAAATAAATAAAATAAATAATATTCCTCTGTTTAGCTGTAGCATTGAGTAGTCAACATTCAATATAAAGCAGTTTGGTTCGTACTACCTGATCTTCACCCAAACAATAGGAAGAATTTGATTATCCAGTTATGGAACTGGGACTTCTAGATCAAACAGCATGAAGTGTTTCATTGGACAAGTTTGGACAGACCAGTAAGCTTTCTTGTCTTGGGAATTCCAGTTTAACCTAGTTTCCTCCTGGTTCCCTATTCCCCAAGATCCTATAGGATGGAAAAGGTGAGAATGATAGTCTTTCTCCCTTGGTGGCAAGTAGCTGTTTAACCTTTCATCTAAAAATTATCCAGAGGAATCTTTGGGGACCTTACCTGTAAAAAGGCATCCTGGAATTCTCAAGGGTATCTCTTCTCAACTTTGTAGTAATTCAAGCTGACGACCTGGTTTATGTATATCAGATACTGAAGGATAATGTTTTGTCTCAGGAAATTGACAATTTCGTATACAATAAATGGATCTTGTTCCAAGATTTATTCCAAGTATGGAAGGTGTTGTTTTTTTAAGATAATGGTTCAAAGAAAAGCATTGCGGATGGTTTAAAGCCAGAGATCCTCAAGGTCAAATTTCAGTTATCAGTTGATTTTTCACCAGTATCTGCTAGGCTCTTTCTTGGTTAGTTCTTATCTTCTGGGAATCTTTTCCCCAGGGGATCTTCTTTTGGGGCTTTTAACTCTGCTGATTTGAGTCTTCACTCTAGGTCTTTGGGGGTAGTCGCCCAAAATATTTTTGGGAAGAACTTCAAGTTCTTCAAGTTTCCATTTTCAGCAGGAGAAAGTGGAGTTAAGTTGGATTCTTTAATTCTTCCCAATCTTCCATCTATCATTATTTTTCTAACTTTTCCCAAAAGCGTTCTAGGGTCTTGGACTTCTAATTCCACTGCCTGGGCGTTTAGTTCTCGTCTACAGTACCTTAAAGGTCTGCATTCGTTTGGGTTTTTTCTTATCTAACACTCTATTGTAGCTCCTTCGATCACAGTTATGTTCAGATTGGGAGCCTGAGGGCTTCTGCTATATATTCTCTCGAATTCCTAACAGCCACGAGGTGATCTCTTCATTCAATTTGGTCTGTTGATCTTGGAAGATAGAACTTTTGGTTGCATGTTTTTTGCAGTGAGAATTGAGTCCCGCCCTAAGGAATTGCTTTTGGAGATCCCAGTTGTAAAGCACTGCCTCTAATCTAAAGGGGAAAACAATTTTTTTACTTACCGTAAATTTCTTTTTCCAGAAGATTAGAGGCAGTGCTCACTTTCCCCCCAAATTTTTTACTAGTCTGAGTGGTACGGTTATTAGGCTTTTGTAATTTCTGGGGATGTGTTGGGTAGGAAGCAATTTATAAGGCCAAAGGTTAATTGGGGGAGGTTCTTGAAAAGTTTGGGAGATTGCCTGCCTGTTTTTTCCCTCCAGGAGATGAAATCCCAGTTGTAAAGCACTGCCTCTAATCTTTTGGAAAAATAAATTTACGGTAAGTAAAAATTTGTTTTTCATTGTATATATTTATATAAAATAAAAAATTATGTAAATACATTCATTTTTAAAAAAAAATAAATATATATATACATGTAGAACGAAATATCTATATACATATAAAATTCTACGTATATATTTATGTAATAATTTTATTAATTACAATTTGCAGGACGTGAATGACAACCCAGGTCGAAAGTTCAGGGAATTTAATTTGCTAGCACTATATTTAAGCCTGTAACTTTCCAAGGCACCATAAAACCTGTACATGGGGGGGTACTGTTTTACTCGGAAGACTTCGCTGAAAAAAAATGTTTAGAAACCATAAAATGTATTACAGCGACGATATCGTCAGTGACAGTGAAATTTTTTGCATTTTTCACACACAAATGACACTTACACTGATATTGTTGTGATACGTTTTACTGCTTTGAAACACTGATATTTGTGTTCAGCGAAGTCTCCCAAGTATAACAGTACCCCCCATGCACAGGTTTTATGGTGTTTTCAAAAGTTACAGCGTCAAATATAAGGCTTGTGTTTCAGTTTTTTCACATTAAAATTCGCCAGATTGGTTACGTTGCCTTTGTGACTGTACAGTAGCCTAGGAATGAAAATTACCCCCATGATGGCATACTATTTGCAATAGCAGACAACCCAGGGTATTGCAAATGGGGTACTTTCAGTCTTTTTTTTTTGTAGCCACTTAGTCACAAACACTGGCCAAAATTGCCGTTCAAATTAGTTTTTTGCATTTTTCCACACACAAACAAATATTAACACTAACTTTGGCCAGTGTTTGTGACCAAGTGGCTACTAAAAAAGACTGGACAGGGGGGCGGGGCCTGAGCTTCATGGCGGCTGGACGTGCCTTGTGTGAGCTCCGAGCTCAATCTTCTCTTCTAGCCGGAATAAATGCACTCCAGCCAGCCAGAACCTACAAAAACACCTGAAGCCTGATCGTACTTACCTCAGGAGCCAGCTGAGGTGCCCCGGGTCTGCCGCCCGCAGGTGCACGGAACGTCCGTCGAGGGTGTCGGGAGTGAGGCCTAGCAGTATCGCTGGACGGGTGATGCGGCCGATTCCCCCGCTCTGCATGACTTAGTGCCCTCCCAAGCCTGTAATACAGCCCTGTTCCCCCCCCCATGGACCGGTGGGGGTTATCCCGGTCCGCCCTAGCCTGTACCTGGAACCAAGCGAACTTAAGTTAATCGCCCTAACTAGCTGAGATATTGCCCCAGCAGAAACACACAAGATGGTGGCCCAACATACCCTACAAGAAGAAAACTCCCAGCAAACCGAACAGGAGCCTCTAAGCCCGGCACAGATCACTCAAAGGAGGCTGGATGAAATTTTTTCCCGCTTCTGGGCAGGATTGGAGGCACGCCAAAAAGCAGCAAAGCCCCAACATCGGGAGGACGACCGGGAGGCTGAGAGCCGGATGGTGAGGGGGCCCCCTATGATCGTCCATGTCTCTAAATCACATAAACCTCCTCCCATTAAGAGATCACCTAGGCCGAGGGCCATGAGGGGCAGAACCCCGCGGCATCACCCACACAGGCGGAGGATCACCCGCTACAAGCGGCTGCCTACCACCAAATCCTCCTGCTTACCCCTTAGAGGGGAGGACAGGGACCCCAGGAGCCCCCAAGTCTGTGGCACGAAGATGCTGGCCTATCTACCGGCCTGGGGCAGGAGGGATACCCACCAGAGCCATCGGACTGCAACAGCCACCCTAGCCCTCAATACACAAGACTCACACTTCCCATCCTTGGGAATAGGGTGAATTAAAGCCCGCTACCTAAAGCGGTACCGCAACTATGGGACTAACCGCTAACAACAGTTGCCACTGCTGGGACTTCCATATATGACTCACATGGGCCAGCCTGACTGGGTTCACGCAGCCAGCAAGCACACATGCTCAGCCTGTTAATGCTATATGTGACTCACCATACATAACAGCTAGACCTAGCCTGTATCAATCAGCTCATATGTTATCTTATGGTATTCACAGTAACTTTAGCGAGGAAATGTTCAGTTATGGCTGTAGTGACTGTTACGATAAGCTACCTTTTCATCTTTATTTTATTGACTTCTACCTATATGCGACTCACCCATGTGAAGCAGCTGAACCTAGCCTGTAGCACTCAGTTCAAATTTTATTTTATGGTAGTCACAGCAACTTTAGCGAGGATATATTCAGTTATAGCTGTTGTATCTGTTGCCATAAGCTACCTCTTCATCTTAATTTTAATGTCTTCTACCTATATGTGACTCACCCATGTATAACAGCTAGACCTAGCCTGTATCAATCGGTTCATAGTCAGTTATAACTTTTATGATAAGCTACCTTTTCATTTTAACGTCTTCACTGTTTAGCCAAACTGATGTTTACTATAATTATACAAAAATGTGCATTCCTCTTGTCACTGTTCAACCTAAGTACATTCTTAGACACGCTGTTGTGGCGTATGTCATTGCTATGTATAACATGCACAACAAAAATAAAGAATTAAAAAAAAGACTGGACATACCCCATTTGCAATACCTTGGGTTGTGTACTTACCATATGGTCTCAAAGGCAATGTAACCAATCTGGCGAATTTCAATGTGAAAAAAATGAAAAATGTAACATGCTATATTTAACCCTGTAACTTCCCAGGACACCATAAAACCTGTACATAGGGGGTACTGTTTTACACGTGAGACTTCGCTGACTACAAATATGTGAATTTTATTGCAGTAAAAGCAAACAGTATTTTGACACACAGTTAAAATATCATGTAGAACTAAGAAAATTAAAATAAAATCTTATTTTCTCCCTTTTAAAAATATTTTATTCATATTTAATAGTTTGATACCTAAATATTTGATATTAAATGAAAGCCCTGTTTCTCCTGAATAAAATGATATATAAGTGTGGGTGCATTTAATATGAAAGAGGTGAATTACGGTTGGACAGACATGTAGCGCAAATGCCAAGTTTTGTTTACATTTTGTTTTGATCACAACGTGTACATTTGGCTGCGGTCTTAAGGGGTTAATGGGACAATCTTTGACCGTAACTACAACACATGTGTAGAGGTTATTGACCTAGATGGAGGCACTTTTTTTTCTTTTTTCTTCTAGTAGTTTGCCCTAGTTGCATAAACCCACAAAAGGCAAAATTGCTAGTGCAGAAGTTTATTTCCTATCAATTTCTTAAACTGAATACAAAGCTGGTAGCCATATAGCACCATAACTATGTTGGCACTAACCAGATAAAACCACAATCCATCAATATAGCAAGAGGATATTCAAACAGTAAGCGCTTCTAGATTACTGACTTGGTCTGGGCGATGCTCAATGCAGACTTGTAATGAAAGGGTATTTTGCAAATGCAGGCACAGCTCTTAAATCTGTCATTTAAAGCAATTGAAAACCTAAATTTTATTTTATTTTTTTGAGTACATGTTGTGTAACCTTAAAGAAACACTACAGGCATCCAGACCACTTTACAGGTGATAGGAAAATTAGAATATCATGCAAAAGTTCATTTATTTCAGTAATGCAACGTAAAAGGGGAAACTAATATGAGACGCATTACATGCAAAGCAAGATTGTTCAAGCCGTGATTTGTCATAAGTGCGAGGATTATGGCTTACAGCTCATGAAAACCCCAACTCCACAATCTCAGTAAATTAGAATATTACATGCAATCAATAAAACAAGGAGTGTACGTAGAACAATATCGGACCTCGGAAAAGTATAAGCATGCATATGAACCCAGTACTTGGTTTGGGCCACTTTTGCAGCAATTACTACCTCAATGCGGCGTGGCATTGAAGCTATCAGCCAGTGGCACTGCTGAGGTGTTATGGAAGACAAGGATGCTTCAATTGCGGACTTCAGATCTTCTGCATTGTTCAGTCTCAGGTCTCATCTTTCTCTTGGCAATGCCCCATTGATTCTCTATGGGGTTCAGGTCAGGCGAGTTTGCTGGCCAATCAACCACAGTAATCCCACAGTCATTGAACCAGGCTTTGGTGCTTTTGACAGTGTGGGCAGGTGCCAAGTCCTGCTGGAAAATGCAGTCAGCATCCCCATAAAGATTGTCTGCGGGAGGAAGCATGCTCCAAAATCTCCTGATAAGACGGCTGCATTGACCCTGGACTTAATGAAGTGGACCAACACCAGCAGCTGACATGGCTCCACAAATCAACACAGACTGTGGAAACTTCAACTGGACTTCAAGCATCTTGCAGTGTGTGCCTCTCAATTCTTCCTCAAGACACCGGGTCCTTGGTTTCCAAATGAGATGCAAAAGTTGCTCTCATCAGAAAAGATGACTTTGGACCACTGAGCAACAGACCAGGTCTGTTTTTCTTTAGCCCAGGTAAGACGCTTCTGACGTTTGTTGTTCAGGAGCAGCTTGACAGGAGGAATACATCTGAAGCCCATGTCCAGGATCCATCTATGTGTGGTGGCTCTTAATGCACTGAACTGACTCCAGCCTCAGTCCATTCCTTGTGAAAGTCCCCAACACTTTTGAATTGCCTTTTCCTGACAATCCTCTCCAGGCTGCAGTCATCTCTGCTGCTTGTGCACCTTTTTCTGTCAGGAAAACCTTTCATGGCTCTATAGTTGACCTTTAACCATGTCCAATAAAAGCGATTTTGAGACCAAGTCATTCTCTTTGCAGAGTGAATGCACTAGTGAATCAGTTTGAGTAAGTTACATGTCTTCATTTCCAGAGGTCTGTATCACTACAGCAGGGTGGGGGGATTAGACTGTTATAAGAGGCCAGCTTTTCCTACTTGCCAAGCACTGCTGCACACAACCTGTCAAACAGAACAGACAACATCTTCCCTCCACCCACCCATCCAATTAGATTGCAATATGGAGTGTGAAATCAGGTCACCAGTAGTTTTGGGTTGTTTTAAGATGTTTAAACATGATTAAAGTATTGGGAGAAAATGACATGGCTTGACATTCACAGATAAGGAATTAGGGAAAACTTACTGCAATAATAGGAAAATAGCTGCCTCCTTCCGCTTAATGTCAATCAGTCGGCAGGAGAAATATGCATGGACACTCACTTTCTTAATTCTACATAAATAATCAAACTTCTATTAATTCTTGTACTAACAAATTACTTTTAATCTGAACAAATCTATCCATGTGGGATTTACCTGTGGAGTCTAATTTATTGAATACGACTGCACAGGTAAATTCCATACTGACAGACTTGTTCTGGTATAAGCTTTATTAGCAAAGCTTTTAAAGTATATGGCTGTAGTTTAATATTTCACTTTGACAGACCTTTCTAAGCTGCTTCCTCCCAGGTCACATAAATCACAAAAAAGGTTGATGGTAATAACATTTTATTCCTAAAATATGGGAAAGAGGTTTATTTATACAGGTGGGGCTTGAGGTTAGGTAGACTGAGAACTTTCAGAAGAACAGCCCTCTCATACGCCGGCCAATCCCTTGGCGATCATACAGGATGTTAAACTTGTTGACAAACTGATTCATGGTGTTACAGGTCTTGGTGATGGTGCCCAGGTAAGACATCAGACCCACATCATTACATTGCTGCAACGGAGGAAGGACATGAAAGGGTAAGTTATGGAGATGGCTTTGAAATTCAACATGAAGACAGTGAGGTCAGAATATTAAGAAAAAAAGGCTGTATCGGAAGAAAACCAAAAAGGCAGATTGACCAGAATTTGGCAAAAGAGAACAGGGTAGAATAAGACTGACTTAAAATCAAACCGAAAGCATGAAGTGCATGAGTAGATAAATGCTTAACTCACATCATAGAAATCCATCTTGAATTTGTCAGTGCTAAGTACAGGAAGACAGTGACATAGTGCTGAGGCCTCCCGCAGGATTTCATGGTTAAAGGGCACCTCTCCTATGAAGAAAACCATAATTATTAACATTAGGGTTCACCGGGCAAGGACACTTACAGCAAGCTGGGGCAGTTCACACTACGAAAACACTGGCCAGCACTGATGAAGAAGCTAACTTGTATTCATAACATGTATATTTACCGGCCTCTGCAGCTCGGACATACTCCAGGATAAGCCGTACTCTGCTGTGAAGCATCTTGATGGCACTATGTTGAGCAATGAGATGTTCGGCCACTGAAACAGATGGATATGGTTGGCAAAAGGGAGTGAAATGCTTTCAAATTCTTCAACTCAGTCATCTCTTTACCACTAATTATCATTGATTTATGAACACTTAATTTCTTACCTGTAGAGTTCTCCCCACTTCCAGTTGCTGTCATTCTGGCAACGTGGTCAACCCCAATTCGCTCGGCTTCCTCTGTGGCCAATGTGTACGGGAGTTCGGCTAAGAGCATGGTGGCCTAGATAGAAGACATCACAGGACAATCAGAAAATGGCACAGACACGCAAAAGACTATTGCTAAACTTTGATAAATTAAATGTGCACAAAACAAAGATGCCCCACACAATGCTGTCCCAATATTCAAGCTATGGCCACAGAGTAATGTATCACATCTTATGTGGGGGTGAACAGTCACAATGCAGTGCCAATCAAGAACACAAACAATTCTCAAGAAGCCTTTAAAAAAAAATACTTACCTCACCATTTACAATGTCAATCACCGATTCATACACACTGACGGGCAGCTGTGGTAGGAGAGAGAAAGAGCGCTATCAAAAAGGGTAAAACTATAATTAATTAAAAAAAAACAAAATCACAAAAAGTACTTACATCTGTGTGCTTTGTCATAGGGTTTAACTTGAGGAAGAGCGGCGACTCTATAATTTCACAGACCTAGGACAAAAAGAGAAAGGGATAGAGCTATAATATTAACCTAAGAGAATATGTTTACTGGTACATATCACTATTAAACCAACAAATCTATCAGTCCCAGAGCATGTGCAGTGCTTATCTAAAACATGATGTCCTCTATACAATACTGCACCCCTCAATATGCTCCCAATTAACCATTCACCCCAGGCTTCTGTCCCCGATTTAAATGTCTACTTTAAAACCAGATTCTCCAGTAATGTGTTCCTATCGGATAAACATCTGTGTTCTGGGTCCTTGTGATACAGTGTCATTTTAAGAGTCTTATGGATAGACAGCCATCTAGTGTCATGTCCTTGGTGTACTCTTTCAATCATACATTCTTTGCCATATGCAATCTTCTTACCATACAGTGTCCCTGGTACAAAGTTTCCTTCAAAGTCCACTGTAGTGCAATGAGTGTTTCGGCACCCTCTACCTGGCTAACCCACCCTAGGGCTCTTAGACTATTAATGTCATAAAGTGGGATGGCTAATGTGAAAATTTATTTATTACATGGCAGGAGGCTTCATATTTTTGCTTAACTCGCTTTACTAAACTCCACAGCAGCACAAGTTTGCTTCGCAAAAAATTAACCAATCAGAAAAAGGAAAAAACAGACAAAACGTCTTTCCTCTGTCACTTCCTCTTTTTTTACTGCTCCATCATCAGCAAAGGTCGGAGGGCCACTGCCTCTTGCTTTGTGGGTTGCTGTGGCCTTTTATTGGTTGTTCGCAATACTTGGTTTATAATTAGTGCCATTATCCTTATCATTTCTACTTTTCATTGTAATCATACTGGTATTATTGCCTTATTTTTACTTTATCCCATTTTCCTGTCAGTGCTCTTAATATTCGGTTTGGTCATTATTTCCACTATTATTTCTAGTTCATTATATCCTACTATTATTACTTTATTATTCCTTGCTTTGCAATCTCCTTATTGGAATCCCTGGGCTTCGTGATCAACCGGGAGAAAAAGTAGTCTCTCTCCCAGTCACACGGCGTGAGATTTTTGGGTTTCGAAATAGACGCCTCCTCCTGTGTCCTTCGTCTACCGCAAGAAAAAAAATTTCAGCTATCAAAAAGGAAATCAAGAGATTACTATGTCAAGATCAGATCCCGCTCCGTATGCTGGGTCGCATTGTAGGTTTTCTCTCCGCCTCTATACAGGTTAATTAATATCCAGTACCTCTTCACTATCGGGCCATGCAACGTCTGAAGGCAAGATTCCTTTAGGCAATGACCTTTTCCTAATCATCAGGTAATCCTGGTAACCCCAGACTTCAAGGAGGAACTACGATGGTGGCTTCTAAACATGTCCGCTTGGAACGGCAAAGCAATCTTCGGACCAACTCCGGATGTTATCAGAGAGTCAGACACGAGTCTCTGGGGCTGGGGTGTAACGTGCCAGACCGCGTCTATGGACGATCGCGGAAACCGATTTCCATATCAACGGATTGGAGTTGATCGCAGGCTCGTTCGCAATCCGCAGTCTGGCCGGCCACCTGTTTGTTTGTTGCATCCTCTTGAGGATGGACAACATTTTGTCGGTGCAATATATCAACCGTCTAGGTGGTGCACGGTCACGGCTGCCGTTGGAAGTGACGAAGGAGATCTATGATTTTTGTTTACGCTGCAAGTGGAATACTTGCCAGGGGCTACGAACCTGACGGCAGATTGGTTTTCCAGGTATTGGAGGGACACCAGCGACTGGCGCCTTCATTGCTCGATTTCCCTTTACATTGAACGGTTGAGAGGACCATTTGTGGTGGATCTATTTGCCTCCCGAAAGAATTACCAACTGGTGAATTTCTTCAACTGGGTACCCAATCCAGAGTGCTCAGCCGTGGACGCCTTCCTCCAAGAGTGGCCTTAACGGGGCGCCTACAACTTCCCTGCGTTTGCTATGAGTCCCAGAGTGCTTCTGCAGATCCGTCGGCACGGCCAGACCTGGTTCCGGGACCTGCTGGACCTCACTTGGCAGGATCCCCTTCTGCTCCCTTCCATACTGGACATTTTCCTGGATTCAAAAGGCCAACCACATCTGGCTTGGATTCATTCCGGGGATCCTGGAACGTCAGCAGCCTATCGCAGAAGGCTAGAGGCCTACTCTGGGACTCATGGGCTCCGGGGACTTATCAGCCTGGAATTCTTGCTGCAGTTGGTGCCTGGAACGTGACACTGATCCCCTTACAGACCCTGTTTCCGGAGTCTTTTATCCCACACCTCTTCAAGTCAGGGAGATCCTATCGGTCCATCAATGTGGTTCACTCAGCTATTTTGGCCGCTCATGTCCCGATACAGGGATCACCTATAGGACAGGATCCCTTGGTCTGCATGCTCCTACGGGGCATTAATTATCTCGCCCTCCAGCGCCTAAATATGCACACTTCTTGGACGTGAACCTGGTACTTTGTTTCCTACGGAATTGGCCGATTAATGAGGACTTTTCCGTTCGACAACTCCCAGTGAAACTTACTCTTCTGCTGTGCCTTGTTTCCTTCCGCATGGTCTCCTATGTCCGCGCCTTTTCCATTTGGCCAGACGGAGTTACCTTCTCCATCTCCAGATGATCTAAATCTGACTCCTCTACATTTTTTTTTTTACCCGTACTTCCATGACCTTCCCAAACTTTGTGTGGTTTCTACTTTTTCCCGCTATGCAGACATTACTTCTCCCCTCCGTATCTGGTCAATTTTTTATTTCCTACGTGCGCCCTAACAAGCCAGTCTCTGCCACCAGCGTGGCACGATGGATCAGATGGTTGCTATCGTTAGCAGGTGTCGACCCCTCCTTTGGGGCACACTCAGTGAGAGGCACAGCTACCTCGGGAGCCCTTCTGGCAGGTGCTTCACTTTACGACATTCTACGATCTGCGGACTGGTCACATGAAGACCCCGTTCGTAGGTTCTATTTTCGTTGTCCTCCGCATGCCTCTCCAACACTGAGAAGCGTTAAAACAGCAAATTATGAAGCCACCTACAAGGTAATAAAATTGTAGATTATGCTAGCTTTAGTGTACCTATAATCTTAATTTTATTAATGACAGGAGGCAAATATTTTCCCACTAATTTAGTTTCACATCCCCTCTTTCTATAGGGGGTTGACGTTCTTTATAAGGTGGGTATAATAAGGTTACTGTCTGGTCGTTTTAGACTTCCATTTGTATTTCTTCTCTATTAATTTGCAAGGTAGCCTTAATTATGAACATAGTGAGGTGCTTATTCCTGTGAGGTTTACATGCCTTTTACTAGTCCATTTCCTAGATTAATTCCTTTTTTCGACCGTTCTCTCGTTTCAGTTTAAAGTTCCCTACAGACACAGAGCTTGAAGGGGATTATCCGTCTAATTATGGTTTCCTTTCACCTTATCGCCTATTCCGTTCTGGACTCTTTGGTTGCCTAGATCTACTCTGTTCCTTATTTTTACGCAGCTTTAAAGAGGAAGTGACAACAGAGGAAGGAAGTTTTGTTGTTGCTGTTTTTTTTTTTTTCTGATTGGTTAATATGTTGCTAATTAAACTTGTGCTGCTGTGGAGTTTAGTAAAGAGAGTTAAGCAAAATTATTTGCCTCCTGTCATTAATAAAAATTAAGATTATATGTACACTAAAGCTAGCATAATCTAAAATTTCTGCAGCAACTGAACTGAAGCAGAGAGGCCTCTCTGTAGGAGTTGAGAGTTCTTATTTTTGTCCCATATCCTCTACAATTAGCCATAGTGATTCTTAGAGTACATTGTTACAATTGTTTTAATGCCCAATCTCCTATCCATAAAATATCCTTTTTGGTATAAACAGAGGCATAAGATTTTGTTTTCTATCTCTGTCCAATGGTCACACAATTATCACAGTACCTGTTTGTGGACATTAATGTCTGATGGGTCTGGGGACCCTCCAGTGGTATACCAGCCCAGGAACTCCATTTCTTTAAACACCTGCTTAACTAGAGAAAAACATATTATAATCGCTAGAATATACTTTATCTATTCATAACCAGGAAAAACTCCCATTTACCCTGTTCCTTCCATCAATTCTCCATATTCTTCAGGCAGAACAAAACAAAAGAACATGCACGTATGGAACCCCACTAAATCTGGATATTAATGAATAGACTTGGCAAAAGATTATTTTCAACTACGATGAACAAATCAAGTACTGGTCAATCTTTGGTCAACAAACCGACAGTTCGACTCATACATTGTACAAATCTATTAATAAATTGCTACTGGTGCTGTAGGAGCAACCCGTTCTCCATGTCAATCTTCTTTTGGACACAATAATTAATACCTTTTACAATAACCAGAGTTCCTCTCCCACTTACTACATCTCCAATTTTCTTCTACCTCCTAGATTTACACTCACATTGCTCCTCCTTGGTGTAATAATATTCTTTGTTGATCGTGATCTTATCGTCGTTGATCTGAGAAAGGAGCTCAAATGAATTCATCACTTCAATATTTCTTCCCTCCTGCTTTCCAATAAGGGCGCCAATAACTGAAGAATAAAAGCAAGATGGCTTTTAGGCAGTCAGAAAACAAGACCAAAAAACATTTTTTAAATGTAAAAAGCAAGTATAACAGTGGTAACAGTGCTATTGGCCATGTGACCCAACAGCATTAATCGTGACAGAGAACCTCCTCAAGACAGAATGTGAAAGTAAGGGAGATAAATACTGGAAGCAGAACAGATGAATGCATTGATTGCGGAGATTAGTCTCACCTTGCACAGGACGCCCCTCTTGGGATCTCATGCGGATCCAGTGATCGGAGATATTAAGAATGACGAGAGGATGGAGTGCTACTGTCACACTGCCAGTTACACCTTGTGCCATCACAGTTGGCAGGGCTAAATGAAAAGCGAGATACAAAGTATGTTACAAATTAACATCTACCAACAGTGAAAATGGAGAACAAGGACAGACATTCCCCATGCTGGCGAATCTGGGCTTTAAATAGTTTTGTTTCATCAGAGAGAAGTTCGAGCAGCAGAGAAAACTTTTTTATATATATATATATATATATATATATATATATATATATTATTATTATTTCATAGGGAAGGTTAGTCTGACCGAATCGTTTTTTTATGTTTTCAATAACCCCTGAACTAATTTACATACTTGGCCGGCAACGTATGTAACTGAAAATATAAATAACAAAATAGTATAAAAAAATAAACAAACAACAAAACTTTAACACGACCAAAAATTATTATGCAAGCTAAAGGGGTTCCCCAGGTGCTAGTGGCTTATCTCCTTATCTCGTCATTTAATTACTTGACATTGACATTACTGAGCCCTACAGCACATTTCTAGAGGGAGAGAGTCCACCGGTTTCAATGAGGCTACAGGCAGATGACAGCACCCCGGGGGGGGTGGGGGGTGGGATACCACATTCTCCATGTTATCTCTGAGGTGCAGCCGGGCACTACATGAAGAGTGCTGCCCTTCTGTATGTGGCATTCATATGCTACACTGTTTACATTGCAGAGGAATGCAGTAGGAAGTGGCTGTGGTTGATACATTTCCCATACAGTACCATAGCAATGCTCCATGTTGCAGGGCCAGGTGGCTGAGCCCCTCAGCATGGCATTACCTGGCTCCAGGAATACAATGTGGGGGTGCTACCCCTGGGGCCCCCCTGTATTACTGGGGACACCTGGCAGCCATACACCCAGTGCCCACGGTCAGCCAGCCCCAGGGAGCCTGGAGCCAGCCTCCACTGCTGCCATTATACACAGAGAGAGCAAGTCCTCACTCACCGGCCACGTCCACCTCCATACCGTTACCATTAGAGGCAGCTTCCCCTGATGCTGCGGCTGCCGCCATCTTGCTACTCCCGGCGCCTCCGGCGCTTTGTACACTGCGCATGCGCGGACTGCACTTTTATCTGCTCGCGACCAGGAAATGCGTATGCGTGTGCGCGTCGGAACAGCGCCCAGCCGGCGCACCATGATGACGTCAAGGAAATGAGAGAAGCTGGCGGAAGTGGTTCTCAGTGTCCGGAAGTCGACTCTTACAGGGTTTATTCACTAAAGAGAGGGTTCAAAGTGAATTTAAAATGCAAGGTCAACATAGGGAGACTGGAAACAGTCACTGAGTGAGCTGTGCTTCCAGTTCGGCTACTTTGGCCTTAAAGTCACATTTCACTTTAAATTCTCAGTTTAGTAAATACGCCCTGTTAGTGTTCTCTCTGTAACCTGTATAATATCGTATCACACCTGGAATCCACGCAGCCACTGTTATATTATATTTTCATACATATAAATCCAAAACTTGGAGGATTATTTTTTTTTTATTTTTACTTCTAAATTGCAAGCTGTGCAGAATTGAGTATTGCGTTTAATTATTTTTTTGTTGTTGTTGTTGAAGTACACTATTAGGATATTCGTTAAGTGAACCAACAAATATGTTGGTGCTTTATAAATCCCAGTAATAAATAAAATAAAAAATAAATAAAAAAAAAGTTGTTATGGTAACCCCCCCCCTCCACCCCCATCACACTTTTACATTAAGGGGTCAAAGCACCAACATATTTGGTGGTTCACTTAACGAATATCCTAATAGTGTACTTCAACAACAACAACAAAAAAATAATTAAACGCAATACTCAATTCTGCACAGCTTGCAATTTAGGAGTAAAAAAAAAAAAAAAATTATCCTCCCAGCTTTGGATTTATATGTATGAAAATATAATATAACAGTTAAACCACAAAAGTTTATCTTCAGTGCCGATCTGTAGGTCCCTTAGACAGCACCCAATCAGTAACGGTTTAACCCGTTAAGGTAAAAGTGTGCCTGGAGACCTCCTGGCACCATAACAGCATAATTTAGATGATTTTGTTATAGTTACCAGAGTGTCCCTTTAAAGTGAGAATTTAAATGAATTTCAAATGTAAGGTCAAAATATTTGAACTGTAAAAATTCTCTAAGCTATGCTTTCCATTCAGCTAATGTTGACTTAAATTTGACATTCACTATGAATTCACTTTAGTAAAAAAAAACCCTGCATAACTCACAGTATATATACAGGGTTATTCACTAAACCATACTGCCTGCCTCCAAACCATCCCGATTTACACAGGACAGTCCCGATTTTTTGATCCTGTCTAATTTTTGGTATCCCGCTTTCAGGGACACCAGGGAACTGGTCCCATAAAGTGTAGCATGTGCATTCACACCAGGCTCACCTGTCAATTCTTCAGACAGAACCGCACCCTTCCTGGGTGGATATGCCCCATTGGCTGGGGCCCTTCTACACCCACAAAACGGTGTCCAACTTGCATTTATGAAGAAGTTGGTAGGTATGCCTAAATGGCAACATTTAGATTTAAATAGCCATGCTGTGACTATAGCTCAATTGCAGCTACTTGCATAGTGGTGTATTTCATCTCACCTGGTCAGTCTGCTACTGTTGTAGATAATTTTATTACATGACAGGAGGCTTCCTATTTTGCATAAACTTTCTTTACTTTATGCCTCCAGCAGCACAAGTCAATCAATCAGAAAAGAAAAAGTTTAACCAATCAGAGTCCAGCACCTCTTGTATATAAGTCCCTGACAGGCTTCCCATTTCCTCTTTCTTTGCTGCTTCCAGCCAGGACACAGGTCAGAGTGATTTTACCTATAACTTTTACAGTATATATATTACCTTTAAATCATTTGCTTATATTGTTATCTTTACCTAGTAGAGTTTTTATTGTTATTTGAGGGTTAGCCCCCTTTCTTTGCGCCTCTCCCCCTGCCATTACCCCCCCCCTCCTCATTTCTGCCCCTAGCTTTCTCGACGGTTTTACCGCGACCGCGGCTTTAAATTGCCGTGGTCGCGGCTGATTAGCGCGGCCGGCTCTCCGGCGGCTCGGGCAACTCAGGGCGGGCGGGTGGGGGCCGGGGTCTGTTATCACCTAAGCGGGCCGCGATCAACGCGATCGCGGGCCGCGCTTAGTTTTGGCGCGAACGGCCATCTTGGATCTCGCTACTCGCGAGATCCAAGTCGGCCATCTTAGGTGGGGAAACCGTGATTCACACGGTCCCCCGTTATCATCCCCACTCCTATCACCCTCTGTCTGCCAGGCCCCTCTATAGAGACAGGGGACCTGGGAGGGAGAGGGTGCTTGTGTTGTTCATACTTACCCCTTCTCTGGGGTGATCCTGTTCTAGGGAGTATCTCCATATATATACAGTATTGTCCCCCCCTACCTGCCGTTTTGGGGTACTACACCAGAAGCAAACTGAATAAATAAATAAAGGAATAGAATAAATATACACAAAAAACAAAAAAAAAAACAAAACAAAAACAACAAGGAATAAATAATTTTGGAAATAAATATAAAAAAAAAAAAAATAAAAAAAATAATAATAAGCTCTTCCAGAGGTGACCCCTCTGAGTGGGGTGACCCCCCACTGGCACACTATTATTGTTATCAAGGGGTGACCCCCCTGCGCTGGGTGACCCCCAGGCGTGTGCCGTACTATCCGAAGAGCGGGGTGACCCCCCTACGATTTATGCTGATACGTGTGGTCGGCACCCTCCATACTACGACTGGGGTGTCCTGCTCATGCCTTTTCCACTGGAAAAATCTATCACACTACATCCCCACTGGGCTTTGAATTAAGGGCATGACCCGTACAATATCTAGGCACTACGACCTAGCCGAGATTTCTATATCTCAGACCGCTCAGTCCGGTCAGCCGGAGGGTGACCCCCTCGCTAGCCCAGGATTACAGGCAGTGTTAATACCTAAAACAGGTTGTTTGATCTGGGCCCATTGGCCACACTAGACGACCCCCAGTCGTAGGAGGAACGCCGTACCTCCTTATTACTGCCTTGTACTATTCACGTACTTCGGTACCTGACTCTATCCTGTCTTTACAGACAGTGATTGCAACCATGAACATGGGTGAACCTTCACAGCAAACTCCACCCGATTTTCAAGCACTAATTAATTCAGCGGTGGCGGCCTCAATGGAAAAGGCCATAGCGAAACTATTGGTCCAAACCCCACATGGGGACCCAGACACCAAAGGCCATGAGAAGCCTTCAGGGGATAGTGCTCCCCCTAAGAGACATTGGAAGGGCAATGGCCCAGCCCCACGGACGGCAAAGGGCAAGGCCCCACTCAAGAGGAGCCGCCCATCAGACCGCCTAGGTCCGTCAACACCCCCGCTGACAACATCCGATGACGAGGGAGGTAACTCACCAACCCCGCTGGAAGTTATGGACGAGTGGAGAGCGGGGGACTCCCCATCTGAGGAGGAGGACTGGCTCGACATACCCCGCGGCCACACGGGGTCGGAGCTGGTCGAGGAGCAGGACACCCGTCATGGGCACTGGAAGGCCGATGCACAGACGGACGACCTGGAGGACGGCACCTTCGTGGGACCCCAAGGCAATCCGATGTTTGATCCACGTACAATACGTCACCCGAGATCATTGGAATGGGGCCTACCGGACCATTTGGCCCAATTCATTCATTTTTGGCTACGACAACCTATGGACAAAGAGGTCCGGGCGAGACTGAAGTCCGAGTGTCCAAGACCTAGCCTACCGGACAAGATTGCCCACACGCCTGAATTCGACACCACGGTAGTCGTATTCATGTAACGGACGGGACGTGACCCGCGTAAGGGCATCGAGAAGGGCCTCAAAGCTTCGCAAGATAAGTTACTAGATATGCTTGGCCCACTCGCTAAGATCCTGTACCTCGCAGACGGAGCGCTTACCCAAGGGAGTACCTTGGACGCCCACGATGTGAGAGAATGGGTGCAACACGCAATCTGCTTATTGGGCAACACCAATGCCGCACTCTGCGCGGAGCGACGTAAAGCCGCGCTTCTCAAGATGGACTCCAAGCTCCTGGAACTCGGCAAGAAAGAATTGGGGCCACGGGCCAATGGCCAACTATTCGGAGAAGCACTGGCGAGCTAAAGAAACATGTGAACTTATTTACGACATTGAGCAAGGCCCAGACTTCCATTAAACAAGTTTTTCGTAACCCTACTCCAACCAGAGGGGTTTTCGGCAGGGCTGGTCGCCATCGGGGCCGAGCCACCAGCCGTTTCTGGCCTACAGGCCCCAGGAATCAAACTTCTCAGTCGTTCTTCCCATCGAGGCCACCCTTCTCGAGAGGAACCTTCCGACCCAGAGGAGCTCGTACCCGCGGACGCGGGCGCTTCAATACAGGTGAGCACCCCTCAAGTACCATTGTGCCTCTCCCCTGTTACTGTTGGCAGACTGTCTCTTTTTTCGCAGAACTGGGAAAAGATATCCTCCGATGCCTGGATCCTTCAAACGATCAGGGGCTACGAGATCGATTTCGCGCACACACCGACCCAATCACGTCGACCACAACCGATACGAACGTCGGTGGAACTCACCAAGCTCATAGACGACGAGGTCCGAGCACTATTCCTCAAAGGGGCAGTCGAATTTGCCCCCGACGACACGGGTTTCATCAGCAACATATTTCTGGTTCAGAAAAAGACAGGAGATTACCGACCTGTCATCAACCTACGCGAACTGAATTCATTCGTAGCCTACAGACATTTCAAAATGGAGGGCATACATCTCCTCAGAGATCTACTACTGGAGCACGATTGGTTCACACGGCTGGATTTAAAGGATGCCTATCTGTCAGTTCCGATGGCACAGTCCAGTCGACCTTTCCTTCGATTTCACTGGAAAGGACGCACATGCCAGTTCACGTGCCTCCCATTTGGTCTCAGCTCCGCCCCTTGGTGCTTCACGAAGCTTCTGAAGCCAGCCATGGCGCATTTACGGACAAGAGGGATCCGATGCCTAATCTATCTAGACGATATACTTATTTTCTGCAACAACGACTCCAAACGGCGTTCTCAGACGAAATTCATAGTGCACTTTCTGGAATCCTTGGGTTTCATCGTGA